AACGGTTGGAAGAAGTGATTGTTCGCAGAGGCGATCCGATAGATCGAGAAGTCTGGTACCTATTGATCAGGACAGGTCACTTTACAAAAATAGGTGTTTGGCGCTTAAAAAGTAATATTGTTATAATTAAGTTTCACGTGCTGAGTTGCGAACGGCGTAGATACACTACCTACGTTTCGGCACGATAGTGGTGATCGGAAACGTATCCTTCCGTCCCTCTATATATGTGGTTCGTCTACGCCGTTGGCTTACGTTAGTCCCTTCCATTGCCTTCGGCACCGAAAATAAACAGCTATTCCCTTAAACCCCATGACCTTCGCACTATATCTGGCACGTGGTGGCTAATTGGGAATATAGTATACCTGACTAGACTTGCTAGTCTAGTTAGTAGTCTCACACTTCCTGATGCAGGCAATGTTGACATGTGGGATAGCGTAGACTAGTGCGATGTCTCACCGCTAAATAGTCGAGGAGGCGAAAAAGCGTCATTCATTGGCTTATATGGTCCCAAGTAGGTTATGTCGTGAGAAACATCAGCACAGGAAAGCCATAGGTTGATAATCCCGCTAGTAAGTGAGCTTATCAAAGCAGGGAATTTGCCGTGGAAAAAAAAGTTTTTTCTACTGAGAACATTTGATATGTAGATGACAGCAGCCAACAGGGCTTACAAGAGAGGCGAGGGTAAGTTCGCAAAGTAATGTAAAGTTTTTGAGATGACATGCCAACACAGATAGATCTAATGCATGGCAGTTGAAGGGATTGCCGGCGGCGTTAGATAGAGTTATCGTGCATTGCATATGCGAGTTGCAAGCAAGGTAAGGTTATCTAGGAGTGTACAGCGTAGGGCTGACGAATAAGAAGCACCTAACCTAACCTAACCCAACAAACAACCCGACACCCCACGTCAGATGGGAACAAGGCGTAGATAACACCTATCTATGTACAAAGTACGGTGGAAAGGTAGGTAAGTAGGCACTCAGAGAGACAGGTGAACGCGAACTTCGCAATAAGTAAGAAAGATTGCATGTGCAATCTGCGCCACGCGTGTACGTGCAATCCTTATCTCGCACACGCCTATACGAATGGCGTATTGCGTATAAGCCCACGAAGACACCGAGACAAAAGACCTGCAGTACGCGCACTAACTAAATAGACTAGCTCGTTAGTTTACTTTTTTAGTCCGGTTAGTCCGTCACCCGCTAAAAAGTGACCGGTACCGACGCTTCGGGTCAACCTGGAGCACAGCACACGAGCCCGTGGCTGTGCGCGCGGCGCTGATGGGTTGGGCTTGCGTACGCCCTAAGACTTCGTTGGGTTGGGTGGGCGGTGAGCACTATATCGGGAGAACTCACACACACGCACGCACGCACGCAACAATTGTGCGCGGTCCGAGGGGCGGGCACAGAGACGAGACTCGGCGCGGATCGGATGGCTGTTCGGCTCGAATGGCTTACGCAAACGCCTACCCAACAACTCTCTATCTGACACACTTTCAGTTTCTCGCTTAATGTGGGAAAGCTCTTCAGCCCTTCCCTCCCATTCCATTCCATCCCACTCCCAGTGCTGACGGCGGAGGGGGATAACTTTGCGAAGAGGGCTTACGGTGCGAGTCTTCGGAGATGGCCGACGCGGATCAAGCTTTGTTAGATGCCTAGATGTTTTTGAGGCCTTAGTGTCGGCCGATAGATACTATACTATGAGAAGGTGGGGGAATCTTATGATTTTGGTCACTGATAAAAAGCAAGTTATAATGTAGAGAATGGATGTATTCAATTTAGACGGGTTCGGATGTATTTTGAATAGTGTTAAAGCCATGACAAGGTAATTACCACTAAATGCCCGTTGCCTCCTGAAAATGAAAAAACCACCCTGCCCCAGACGCCGTATATGCTGAGGGTGCGATGCTATAGAGAGATGTGAAGATGATGATGGGGAGAGCTAGTTTACGGTGATGATGGAGCGGCTACGATGCATGAAGGAGAAGAAAGAAAAAAGAATAAAAAAAACCAAGAATCCCCAACACCGACCATGCATAGATAGCCCCCAGTCGACCAGGAAAGATGCAATAAACAAGATGCAGATCAAAACTCCTTAACCGGTAACACGAACCGAACCCTCTTCCTGGGCTTTGCAGCCGGTATATCTATAGGTTGAGTCTTCTTCTCCAAGCCGTCATCGAGATCCTCGATGCTTAATCCCATTTCGCTTCTTGTTTCCTTGTCGGGTTCTTCGTCGATGGACCACACGTCCGGACTAGGTTCGCGCCACGAGTGTCGCCGTTGTAACGTACGGTTGGCAGGCCTCCCTCGCACAACATGGCGGGGTGGCGGAGTAAAACGTTTGGCGAGGCGGCCTCTGGGCGATCCTACGTGGAATGAGGATGGTGATAATAGATTGCCGTTGGTTTGAGATGTGGCATGGCTGGGAGAGCTGTGTCGGGGGTGATCAAAGTAGTCGTCGAGGCCGTACGGAAGCGGCTTCTGGGGGGTAAACCGTATGTATTCCTCTTCATCGTCATCGTCGTCCTCGACGATGTCGCAATCCGCTTCCTTGCTTCTGGCCTTGTACCGCCTAAGGCCGTCGAGTGTTGAGGGGCTAACACTCCGAACAATATGACGGGGACTATTTGAATCCTCGATGCCCGCATCGAAGTCAAACTCAAATTCTAGCTCATCATCCCCAGGGGTGGCAGGTGTTAAGAAATATTTGAGAGGGTTCTCAGGCCGTGCCGAGTTGTCGATGTCTTCATCATCTGTAGAAAGGCCGTCTCTGTCCTCATCGAGTGCCGGTGGCATTCGGCTAGGACTCGAGGGCCATAACCCGCTAGGTGGCCATGATTGCCGATGCACTGCATTACGTGCATCTGATGGTAGAAGAGGCATGTTGGTTATTTGTAATAGTAGTAGAGCTTATTAGAGCAAAGATCCTTAATAGCGACAGTGGGCTCTCCTGTATCATTTCTAGCTAGGAGAGCTTGGACGATTCATGGGTTGGAAGAGGTCACTCTCTTTATAAATTTGTACCTTCTCGAGGGTGCCGGGCCCAAGCCGGCTCAAGAGCGAGAAGGGTAGTGAAAGTGTCAGAAGGAAAATACCGAAGCCTTGAGCCAAAAGTGACAAGTCTTGGTAGCATAACAAGAGAAAATGCGGCGGCGAGGCCAGGTATATATATTGTTATGTAGGCAGAAGGAATATGTCAGAGAAGTGGCTGGTGCCCGGTTAGTCAGTCACCTGTCGGCCCAAGAAGCTGCCTTGTGGGTTCGTCGGCAGCGATGAGCGTGGTGGTCATCCCGGTCACTCAGCTGTCGAACAGGATAGATATCTCAGAAAACCCCACAGACGCGACGGGCGCGCGGTGAGGGGCTGACGATCCGCTTGCTTATTGCCGTGCAACCAGTGAATCAATCACAGGGCGCAGGGGATGAAGACTCATATCTTGGACCAAGAGAGCAACTGAAGAAGCGAGATATCGTCCCAAAGCGGCATGATGCATGCGCGAGATGGTGTGCAGCCCAGAAGGGAAAACCGGGTGGAGGATACGAGCGCCGGCCGAGTTATCTGCCTCCTGGTCGCCTCCTGGTCGTCAGAAAGTGACCAGAGAGCGACTATCCCCCCACTTTTGGTGCTCTCGTAGTGTTTGCCAGTCTTGTCGTCTAGGCATCTGACATGCTTGCACACCCTCTTCCACAGCCATTTCCACCAAATCCGACGCCGTGTGCATCTGTATGCGACGCTGATGAGGCTCGTGAGCTTCCGTATCATTCGCTGCTGTCTTAGTGAGTCGATCGAAATGCACAGTCAGGGATCGGGACATTGCGCATCGCTGCTGCAGCGCGTCCGCTTTGTACCTTGCATAAGTTGGGTGCTCGACTATGCTCATTCATTTGCGCATCGGGTGGCGTGATGCGCATACCTGGATCAATTTCCAATCATATACACGTAAGTATTCGGCTGCTGCGGCTACGTCGGAGCTGTCAATATAGCAGGTAGACTTAGCATAGCTAGCTACATATCTGAGGTATCATTAGTCCAGGTAGCTGTAATCCTAACTCTGTATACCCACCTATGTATGCTGTAGCCATGTATCTAAGATACGTATGTAAGATATCTGACGAACTATACTACGTATAGTATACCTACCTGCACTCTCGACTACTATCATGACTAGAGAGCAGAATGACCTCTAGTCTGATATTTTAGACAATAAGTCATATCACTCACGGCGCTAAAGTAATCATAATTTATTAGTGAAATGGACACATTCAAGTTCAGGATGCTGGCATCAGGAATCACAAACCTAGGCAGATTCAACTCGACCAAGGAAAAAGTGCTTGTGCGGAGGTGGTGTTCCGCACACCCAGTCGCACAGCACTTACACACAAAATACCTACCACCACCGCACTGCACTCCCACCACCTTCGGTGTGACTGGGGAAACTACGCATACGGCACACATACGGCATAATGCAACCGTGAAAGGATCGTGTTTGCCTAGAAGAAGGGCTTGATTCGAGGGTTTCGGCGCACATCAGGTGACAGGGCTTATCAAGAGCCTATCGCCCGGTTGCAACCCAAGAAAGCAGGTAAATTGGAGCCTTGACGGTGAACGCGCATGGCTGCGGGCGATGCCCCTCACCGGAAGGATTCGGGAGTTGAAATTGGACCTTGTCGACCCGGGGTGTCTTCATGATGACTTGCATTTTCCCAATATCTGCGCGCATTTGCTTTCCCTGTATAAAGCCACACTCGTTGGAGGGCCGATGCTACTCAAAACTGGGTAGAGTGCCGGCATACTGCAGTATACAAGTATTTAGAGGGACAAGATAGGTATTTTGTCCCTCAGTTCTCGCACACTCCATCCAAGCTAGAGGCAGACATCCTGACTCGCTCGCTTCGGGGTGTGGCTCGTTAGCGGCACCACAAAACACCCAGCCAAGGCAAAACGTCAAAGCTCATTTTAGTGAGCATGGATTCCACACAGGAAGCCCATATCTTCCTCTTGGGGCTTGTGGTTTAGTGGTATAATACTCCCTTAGCATCTGCTGGTCCTCGTCCGAGGAGCACACGAGAAACTGGGAGTGGTCCGGGGTTCGATTCCCCGCGAGTCCAACGTCGGTGGTTCAATCCCACCTATACCCATGATTTTCTCCGAATTGGTGTAGTGGCTAACATTTGACGCTCTCATATCATGACGGTGCCGTCAAGCCCGGGGTTCGATTCCCCGATTCGGAGTTGCCCTTTATCTTTGATCTTTTGGTGTGTTTTGCCTCGAGACTTCATAGTCATCTGTGTTTCTCTTTCTTTTTTTTGCCAATTCTCTTCATCTGAGGCATGTGCAAGTAAGTGGTGGAAGATAAGGTGGGTAAGAAGTAGTGATGCTTGCTGTATGTAGATAGATAGGTGGGTTTGCCTAATCTACTACCGACCTAGCATGGTTACAGAATCCAGGTAAGTTTCTACATATCTAGAGAGAAGAGGGGGGGCGGGAAGAGGGGCTCACTTTGTCGATCCTCGGGATGCCTTCGTATGAAGCCCTTGAGAGCGTCAATTATATCGTGGGTTGGTCCCAGATGGATCTTTCGCTAATAGTAGTTTTAAGGTTAATAACCTGGTCGCTGATCACTATTGACGGATTTCGAGGCTTGGCTTAGCCCGTGCCAGCTATAGGCTTCGAGTGTGCTGTAGTGATAGGGCTGGCAGATCACGCCAACTCGGCCAGCTAATACCTACTGTAGACCAGGTATACTGAGATAGTGCTATAGATAGGGCGGAACTCACCGTGTAAGTCCGCTGAAGAAGTGTCACGTGAAGCCTACAACCAGCCACGTGAGGCAGAGCCAAAAGTGCCCAAACACGCCCAATCAGCATTTTGATGATCGGGCAGCCAAGACAAGAGGACTCTCTCATCCACCCTCTCTGCACGCTGCTGCACCCTCCCTGTGCGACTTGGTCTGTTGCCATCGCCGATCCCACTCCGATCAAGTGCTAGCCGGCAAGGTCATACTGCCATGTTTTCTTGGAGTAATGTTTTCCTCTGAATCTGCTATGACGTCGACAAGCCAGGATTGAAGGTAGATAGAGTTTGGTACCTGCAAAGGACCGTGCCGCGCTCGGTACGCTACGCTACGCGTTCTTGGGTATAGGATCTACCCGCCTGGGACCTGAGTTCTGCCTGAGCACCCGGCCGAAGATCTGGGCGAATGGAGCTGTTCATAAACAATGCGTGTCAGCCGTCCCCCAAGTTCATGATGGGCAACCCATCAAAGGAGTCAATCAGTTGATCCGCTACTCACCCCAAGACTAGGAAGAGCGCCGTGGTATCTCGAGAAGATCGACAGGAGTTGATTTAAAGCCTTGGCCAGGTGATCATGGCAATATCATTCATGGCAAATCATATCTGCCATTGTGTGATATTTGTTAAGAGGCGGCTGACAAGATTGCTCAGCCGGGGACCGGGACTGCTCTCGTGGGTTAGGACTCGGCCTGAACTGCTATTGAGCCTCATGCTCAACGTCTCCCCGGTCTTCCGGCCATACTCGGCAGATTGCCTCTTGTTCAAGGCAAAGCCAGTATTGCTAATATCTGGCATCGGAGTGTGCTGATGGTCCGATCTGTCTGCTGCGCTCCCTTGTTTTGGGACCGAGACGCAACCGGTGAAATTTCAAACTTGTTCTCGTCCACCCGCTGCCGAATTGGGAGGAATAGGAGCATTCGTATCACCACGTTTTTGTCAATTCCCTCCCATCTTGTTCGAGTTATGTAGGGGTAAGCCTGATGCCAGGTATTGCAATCCCCCGGCCTTAGCCTTTCGGTAAGTGACGATGAGGTCATTTGCGTTGAATCTGCCATCGGTATCCTGGGCGTTTTGAAGCTATAGCACTCGGTTTCTTCGCCGGTATGCGGCATGGTTATACTGTTAGGTGGAGAATCGGAACGGAACATATGTTGACGCTCATTTTACAGGCTAGTACTGAGCTTGTTCCTATTGGTACATACTCATCGTATGTACGAAATACCCAATCGGTATTGCATAGGGCCTTTCGTTCCGAGAAAAGAGCCGTTTGAAAGTCTAGTACTTGCAATGGCACTCTGTCTATCCAATAGCGATTGCGATATGTGCGTCGGACAAACCCATCGATGACGCAAATTTAGGTTACCTACTGTTCAAGCCACCTATTTAATAGGAAATATGCGAGCAAACTGAGGCTGACTTAGTCTGATAGTGCTTTGGTTGGCTACCTATTACTGGCATGATCGCAGGAACGACGAATGCACTTGCATATCTTATCCATCCTTGGGGTTAGCTCGGTCTTGTGACACGGTCCATATTCGTGGACGTGATTTGCGGCTAGAAACGTCTAGCATATCGCCTCGGCTTTTACGGCTTTCAGGGGTGGTGAGGCCACAGCTGTCTATCACGACGACTAAGCGGAAGTCGAGTTTGTCAGTGAGGCCGAGGGTCCCATATTCTCCCGAGCGGAGAGAGAACCACGTCACTTGGGAATTTGACGCAAGACGGCTAGTAGTGCCTCAAATTTCAAGATGAGCTTTACCAAAAAGCACTTAGCACGATACCATCGTGGCGTGGCTCGGTATCGATACTCTGGAGGCTGGGACGCAATGACGCAGTGGGAATGTTCCTTCGGTCGAAAGAGCGGTGAGGCTCGTTGTGGCGCGGTGATTGGTATCCAGGAAGTCCCAGCCATCCTGAACCCCACAGAGGATAACTTCACGAAAACACCAATATACCGTCATGTTAGAATAAGGAAAGAAAGAAATTTTTCCAATGCCGCCCGGGCCATCACAAAGCCTTAAGGCTGTCGTTCATACAAGCGCCTTATGAGAGCTGTCACATTTCATCATCCCTTGCTCTGTTGTTTGGGTATAGTTTGTTGACGACGCCTCGGACTTGTGAGTCAATGGTTGTACGAGTCTATGCCATCGACAATTCCCATCCACTAGATCCTACAATCTTGCCGAACAATTGGCTCTAGTATACCTAGGTATTTATGACGGGAACGCGTCTCTAGAGCGTAAATATTACAAGACAGTCTACTTACCTTCGCGGTGACGGCGGAGTTGCTTATGAATGATCTCGTGTTGGCGTGTGTTGTATGAATTTAGGAACCTGCGTATCAGGATATATACAACTCATCTTCGGCTTGCATAGGAACCGTAGCTGGCGACACTAGGCACGCCTCCATGCACGCAAGACTTACGAACCCTGCTTGTCACATATAGCAAGTAAGAGAGAGAGAGAAAAAGAAGAAAAGAAGAAAGAAAAAAAAAGAGTCCTCGCTATCCTCACGGCTTGTTTAACTATTAAATGTACGGAGTAAGCAGTGGCCCTTTTTACCTTCCCTTGTATTTAATGTTTGTATGTTTATATTTGTTAGTGCAGCTTATTAACTTATATTAAAAATATTAATATTAGGTTTTTTAAACCGTTAAATTAACTAAAATATTATATTAAAGTTTTATAAAAAATTGTTTTTTTAATTATAAAAATATAAAAATAAAATAATAATAAAAGCTTTTAATATTTTTATAAAGTTAAATTTAGCTTTAATAAATAATATTTTATATATTTATTTATTAAAACAAATTATTTTTTTAAATTTAAATTAAAATAAATAAAAAAAAAAAAACTAATATATAATTTTTATTATTTATAAGCTATATTAAAAAAGCTAATTTTTAATAATATAATTTAGTTATAATTATAATTATTATTTAATTTAATAAAAAAAATTAATAAAATAATATTTAAAAATAAATATTTTATAATTTATTATTTAATTAAATAATAAAACTATTTTTTATTATTTTATAAAATTAAAAGTTTAATTTTTTTATAAAGTTATTTTTTAATATTTTTTAATAATATAATAGCTTTTTTAAAATTTAAAATATAGCTTGTTTTTTTTATATTTTACAGCTATAGCACAACTATTACTAAATAGCAAACTAATTTATATATAATATTACAAAGCTATACTACAGCTACTAATAAATAATACCTTGCTAGCTAAATAATAAAAGCTATAATATAATATATAACAATATAGCCTTAGTAACATAGTAGTTTAGTATAAATTAATTAAAAAAAAATTGCTAAATATATAGCACTAGCAATATAACTGCTATAAAAAGTTAAAAACGTTTTTATAACTATAATTAGCTTATTAAACATATAAATTATAACTATTTGCTAACTAGCTATAAACTAGCAAGTTTTTATTTTTAAACTTTTAAAAGTTTTTTAAACTAGCTATACTTAGCTTAAGCTTTTTATAAGTATTATATATTACAAAAATAGTTATTAAAATAAAAAAAAAATATAATAATATAACTAAATAAAAAAAAAAAAAAAAAAAAAAAATATTTTATAATTTA